GTGGTTAAGGCCCCAAACTGGGACTCAGAACATCTGGGTTTGATTCCTGGCTTAGGCTGATATTTTCAGAACCGTTAATGGCATTTAGACAGCCAGTTCCTACAGCAATCAGTTGGGGTCTGTACAGTGCCCAGTGCAATGGGGCCCTGACTGGAGCTGGGGTCCATGCAGTATCCGGCACAAGGGTTCCCCAGTCTGAGCTGGGCTCTGTGCAGTGCCAGAATGGGTCCTTTCGATGTTAATGTAGGATCAAATATAATGATTCCACGTGAGGCGGATGGTTTTGAATGGACTGAGCGTTCAAGAGACTGGGACCCCTACTCCTAGCTCTGACACTGACCTTGCGCAAGTGATGCTGCCTCGCTGTGCCTCAGTTTCCCCCAGTTGTGAGATGGGATAATAAGATTTAGTCACTATTGTAAAGCCCTTTGAGATCTAGGGGAGAGCAGGGCTAGCTCTTGGCATCATTCACAGTTCCTTTAATGCGGATTAGTGGATTATGTCCAATTTAATTGAGAGGAAACTGACTGCAAAATGGACGGGGGAATTCCCACCCCAACCAGTGCAACCACAGCTTCCTCCTACTCATACACTGAAGGAATCAAGCCTCTGTGAAGCGTAAAGGCCATGTCCTGCTTTCCTCTACACCTGTGCAGAATGAAATTCCGCACTGACTTAGCCTGAAACCAAGCCGATGTCAATAGACATGCAGGGGCTGTAGGTTGGTGCAAATTTCTAGATCAGATACTAGGAACAGGAGGATTGATAGATAGATACTCTGACCCTCTCTGCCCAGAGGACAGTGAAACTTACTTGCAAAAATCTATGAAAAGGCATAACTCCAACAAAAATATTTTCAACTCATCCACCCCATGGTTTCAGTATCCTTTTCCCAGTCGGTTACCCGCGCTGCAGCAGGTCTTGCTCTCATGTACCTCTGTAATGATGGTGCTGGTGAAAATGCTCTTGTCGTACACCCACCCATCAGCGCAGGGTTCAGTCTCCAGCTTGGTTAGGTTTGTGACTGTGGCGTTGGAGTCTAGGAGCTGCCACTCCATGGTGACAAAGCGGTGACACTTCTCTGGCTGCTGGTTGCTGTCCATGGGGATGGAGACCCTGAGAAGGTCTTTGGCAGCGAGCTTTTCGGTGAGGTTGGTGTAAGGAGTGTTGTTGATGTTGATATGGACCTGGCAGTGGTGCTCAGAGGTGGCAGCAGTGAAGTTCTGCAGGAGGTTATGGCTGTCCATCATGAAAACTGGGATAGCCAGTAAGATCGCATAGATGATTTGGAAGCGACCCATCCCCCCGACGTGGTCTATGAGCTCGGCAAAACTCATGGTGCCGGGTTGCAAGATTCAGCACTAACCGTCTGGGTTAAGCAAAACCAATGGAGCTCAAATAAGGGTCGTTACCTGAATAGGTCGATTACTTGTAAAAACTAAACGTGCGATGAAAATATCTACACAGAAAGATGTTAATTTGAATCCAGCTTGTATTCCACTTCACAACTTCAAAGACAGCCATAAAGCGCAGCACTTCTTACAAAAAGTCAGCTGTTGGCAAATAGTGTGCATGGATTCTTGAGGGTGTCGTTTCCAAAGAAGAGGCGTTGAGTTATATTCTCCCTAAATAACTGAGTGTGCTACCCCGTTGCTTCTCCTTTGTTGCAAAAATTCCCCTGCAACCTTCCTAGTTTCCTGTCAGTTGCAGGAAAACTCCATACACCTTTTCTATGAACTGTAGACGAATAAGGGAATGGTTTTGCCAAGCTTAATTCCACGTTGATCCTTGCATTTTACCCTCTGGAAAAGCAGGTGGGGTTTATATATCCCTCGGGCGGTTATATAAGGCTTTAAACAGGTCACTTGGTTAAAATTTTACTTTGTTTTGCATGGATTAAGTCCAAAAAGGAGAGAGTCTGAAAGCAATGTGCTAGATACGGCGCTAAATGCTTCCAGTGCAGAGGTGACAAACACACTGATCCAAGCTGCTAAACCAGATTGTCTTTGGGTGAGTATATTATTCACACCACAGGGCTAGAAATTAACTATAACTAAAAAGGATCCAGATTTAGCTGAGACACCACAAACCCGCCTCTGTCCTGAGTAAGGTGATCAGACAGCAAATGTGAAAAATCGGGACAGGGTGGGGGGTCATAGGAGCCTTTATAAGAAAAATACCAAAAAATTGGAACTGTCCCTATAAAATGGGGACATCTGGTCACCCTAGTCCTGAGTTGTCACTATTCTTAAAATACCAACTGGATATACCCAGCTGAGATTGGGGCCCGTTGTGCCAGGGATTGTACAACCCCATAGTGCGAGCCATCCCTGTCCCAAAGTGCTGACAATCTAAATAGACAAGACAGACCAAAGGGAGGGTTGTAATTAGCGTTGGTCAGAAAAATTTTAGCCAAAGGTTTTTGCAGGAAATGTTCTGCAGGAAAGTGTCATTTTTGACAAATGTCTTGACTCTAAAACATTTTAAGAAAAAAGATTTGAAGATGAAAAATTGGAGATAACAAATTTCAGTTTTTCAGTGTAAAATGACTTTTTGTTTAGAAATTTGAGCTAAGTATAGTAAAAAATGTTTGGAAAATACAATATAGTTGAAAGATAAACAAAATATTTCAACTGACCAAACAAAAGTGGCGCATACGCTTGTCCTGGGCCCACTACACAGGGTGAATTTTCTTCTGTCCTGGTTCTCCCAGGAGCAGACACCAGGTGTCCGGTGCTATCAGAGGCACCTTTATAAGATTGACTGGAGAGTAACTTGCCTCTGCTCCTTAGTCTGCTGGGATCATTCAGACCTGAAGCGCCTACTTACACAGCGAGACAGAATTGACCGAGATGCCGGAAATGGCCAGGCCGGTGAGGAAGCGGAAGACGCAGTATGTGGTGAAGTTGGGGGAGAAAGCAGCACAGATGCCTGTTACCGCCATTTGCAGGTAGCACCAGATCAGGAGGGCTTTCCAGCCAAACCTGCAGCACAGAGAACAGAGTTAATAGGGGGGTGGGGAGATCAGGAAGCTGGTCCAGGGCAGGGAAGTTGGAGGCTGATATGATTGCACCATATTGCACCCATTACTCCTACTTTGGTGATCTCAGCTGCCCCTAAGCACTGTTTGCAATGGAGAGTGCTTGAACCAAAATTCAGGGTTAGGAATTAATTTGAATGCATGACGTTATCCCACTACACTTCTGCAGATGCCCCTCAAGCCCGAACTGCAGCCCTCCTGCTGTTCCAGCCCTGGCCTCCCCTCCCCTAGCTCTGTGATGCCTCTCAACCTTAACCCTGTTCCCTCTGCCAATTCATATCAGTTGTGACCTGCAGCATTCCCAGTAATCCCTCCCCAGGGCCACTACACAGTCCTGACCTGCAGGCAGTAGGTACATAACCATTGTGACATGTTTTTGGAGCTGGGGTTGGTGTGGCTCCAGCTCACACTAGCAACATGAAAGCGTGTGGAGCTCGGAGTCGCAACCTCACCATCTCACCTGTCCGCGAGGCGTCCAAACACAGCTGACCTCACCTGCACACCAGCCATGTAGAGCGACTGCACCATTTGCCGGAGTGTCCTGGACTCACACACCAAATCCCACTGCATGGGGGGAAGAAAACAGAGACCAGTGAGAGCAGGAAGATTTCAGGGCCCACATTGCCTGGAGGTTGGACATGCTGTAGCCTGGTCTGTAGAGAGGATGCTTTGATCCCTAGGTCTCGATATTTTACTCCAGGCAGACACAGAGACGGGAAGAGGTGGCTTTAACCCACACTTGTGCTCCCCCTTTCTGGACCCTAGTTAACCCCTGGGGTATGTGTAGAGTGGCCTCGGAGCTGCTCCGACTTTCACTCTTCCTCCTGATGCCCCAGGGAAGCAGAGCTCAGTCCAATCAGGCCACACCCCCTATGCTGCGGAGCTGGGAGTGGAGCATTTTTACTGGCCTTCCCACAGGGCTGGGTTATCAAGGGGCTATTCACACCCCCCACACTGAAAATCTGAGCCCCAAAAATCAGGCTCTGAAGTGGACACCCATGAGAAAAATTGGTGTACAGAGAACCCATAGGGTCAAGTGTGTGTATGGGGGGGATGGGGAGAGCTATACTGGTCAGTCAGCAAACCTGTTACAGTACGAACAGTGGGTGTGATTCCCCTTGCCCTGTACTTTGTAGAGTTGCCACCCATCCAGCTTTTCCCAGGGTCATCCCTTTTTTGAGGTAGCTGCCCTGGGAAATCTGTCAGGGTACTCAGTGCACCCTGCCAGTTTTATGGGCTCAGGATCATCTTAGATGTCCCATTTTTTTGTACCTCAGAGGTGTGATGGGTTGAATCACAGAACCCCCCTTGGGAACTGCCAACTGATGTGCCAAGACTACTTCTGCCCCTGCTTTCCCTGCCAGCTCGGGACCCCAGCACCCTGTCTTGCTGAGCCAGATACGCCCATCTGCTCCAACACAGACCCAGAGTCTGAATTACTTGCCCCACAGCTGCAAGCTTAACTGAAAGCAGCTCACAGAAGTGTTCTTGTCTTTAACACTCAGATCCCCAACTCCCAATGGGGTCTAAGCCCAAATAAATCCATTTTACCCTGTATAAAACTTATGCAGGGTAAACTCATAAATTGTTCACCCTCTATAACACTGATACAGAGAAGCACAGCTGTTTGCCCCTCCCGCCGATATTAATACATACTCTGAGTTAATTAATAAGTAAAAAGTGATTTTATTAAATACAGAAAGTAGGATTTAAGTGGTTCCAAGTAGTAACAGACAGAACAAAGTGAATTACCAAGTAAAATAAAATAAAACATGCAAATCTAAGACTAATACAGTAATACTACTGAGTACAGATAAAATTTCACCCTCAGAGATGTTTTCATAAGTTTCTTTCACAGACGGGATGCCTCCTACTCTGGGCACAATCCTTTCCCCTGGTACAGCCCTTGTTCCAGCTCAGGTGGTAGCTAGGGGATTCCTCATGATGGCCACCCCCTTTGTTCTGTTCCACCCATTTATATATCTTTTGCATAAGGCGGGAATCCTTTGTCCCTCTCTGGGTTCCCACCCCCTCCTTCTCAATGGAAAGACACCAGGTTAAAGATGGAGTCCAGTTCAGGTGACATGATCACATGTCACTGTAAGACTTCATTACCCACTTGCCAGCACATTCCTATACAGGAAGACTTACAGGTAAAACAGAGCCATCTACAGTCAATTGTCCTGGTTAATGGGAGTCATCAAGATTCCAAATCACCATTAATGGCCCACACTTTGCATAATTACAATAGGCCCTTAGAGTTATATTTCATATTTCTAGCTTCAGATACAAGAGTGGTACATTTATATAAATAGGATGATCACACTCAGCAGATTATATGCTTTGTAATAATACCTTACAAGAGACCTTTTGCATGAAGCATATTCCAGTTACATTAGCATATTTTCATAAAATCATATAGAGTGCAACATCACAGGAGGTGGCAACCCTACTACCTTGTGTGGTCAGTTATACTTGTGCCAAGGGGGAAAAACAGTCTGCCAGATCACAACAGTAAGAGATTTGGTGGAGGGACTGTCTCTCACTGTGTGTGTATATGGAGCCTAGTGCAACGTAACAGTATATAAGCTACTGTGTTGTATTAGAATAGCACATATAGATCCTAAAGGAGATCTGGGGCCCCATTGTGCCAGGTGCAGCCCAGACTCCAACTGAGATCAGGGCCCCAGTGTGCCAGGCGCTGCACAGACCCTAACTGAGATCATGGCCCCATCATGTCAGGCGCTGCACAGACCCCGACCGAGATCAGGGCCCCAGTGTGCTATACCCACATAGTTAGAGACAGTCCCAAAGAGCTTACATTCTAAATAGACAAAGGGCGGGAGAGGAAACAGAGAGGAAGTGATTTGCCCACAGCAGATCAGTAGCAGAGCTGGGAATAAAACCTGGGTCTCCTCCTCCCTCAGTCCAGTACCGTAGGCACTGAGCCACACTGCCTCCCGATGACAGCATTGCCTGGGCTATACAGACTCAGGTTTCTCTCACCTCAGTTATAATGGTGTCAGTGAACAGGCTCTTATCATAGGTCCACCCGTCTACACACGTCTCAATGTCCAGTTCTATGGTGTTGGTGCTTGTGGCATTTGGGTTTAGGAGCTGCCACTGGGTGGTGACAAACCGCTGGCACTTCTCCGGCTTCTGGCTCCTGTCCATGGGAATGGAGACCCAGAACAGATCTTCAGCAGGTAGGTTGGCTGTGAGATTGGCATGATGGGTGTAGTTGGCCAGGATGCTCACTTGACAGTGATGCTCTGGGATCTCAGCAGTGAAGTTCTGCAGGAGGTTATGGCTGGCCAGCATTAAGAGCGGGATGGCCAGGAATGCCACATGCATGACTTGGAAGCGTCCCATGCCACCAATGTGGTCCAGAAGTTCTGGAAAACTCATGGCTCTCGGGTGGCGCAGTGTAGATCAAAAAAAAAAAAAGACCAATGATGGATGAGAAGAATACACTCTTCCCCTGTGTTAGCAAAATATCTCAGTGGTTTGGCCAAAAAATAACTGCTCAGTGGTGCTGATTCACACCATAAAATGGAAGTATGGCCACTTGGGATGCTTATGCTGAACATCTTGCAAGGTATGTGCATCCCAGCAAATAGTCCCTTAATACCACAGGTTAAAATTGCAGAAGGTGGCAAGTTGGCTTAATAACTTTGCAGGTTGCCATCTGCATTAAGTGTCTGTTGTTTTTCCTGTTGCTGTAGAAATCCCAGGTTAACTGGTCCCAGTTTGTAGTGGCAAACAGTTCAGTCCCAAGTCAGTGGAAAGACACCCATTCCAGGAATGCTAGATGGATTTTCTGCCAGGATTGAATCCCTGCTAATCCCCAGGTTTTACCCTCTTGCAAACGGACTCATTGGTATATAAAGGCTTGATGTGCTCAGCCAGTTAAAGTTTTACTATGCTTATATGGTGGATTAAGTCAGATAGGAAAATGTTTGACATGATATGGCGCAAAGGGCAGCGCTGGACAAAGGAACAAATCTGCAGAGCACAAGGGACAAGAATGATGACCTTGGTTAGTATATTAGAGTTATGGGATGGGTGTAGCATGGACTGGACTCTGGGCTAGATTCTGTATCAGTTACTGCTGATGTAAAGCTGGACTATTTGCTCTTGGGAGATTTTCGAAAGCACTTTAATGAAGCACCCAGGTCCTCTTACCTTTTAGTCCCTAGGAGAGGAAATACCTCTTCCACACAAGACAC